GGGGGGGGGGGGGGGGGTGGGGGGGGCTGACACGCCCGCGGTGTGTCTCGGCCGGAAAATGGCGCGCCCGGGTTTCGACACCAAGAGACGGTGTGGTTGCGTTTATGTTTCGTGAGCTGCGCAGGCACGTGGTAGTGGTGGCGTTGGAAGGCAGAGTGCGAGTGGAATCACGACCGATGTATGCTATGCGTGTGTCCTCCCCCCCTTGATCCTGATAGTTGGGAAATATGCGCCCGCTCGTTTTCTCGCCTTGCTCTCCTACCCCCGTCCGTTAAAGCGCATCGCGCTCGCGCTGTGTGTCCTCCCCCCCACAAGCCGCTCCACACGCCCTCTCCCCCCTTTTCACCTCCCTCGTTGGACATTTTCTTTTGCCCTCCATGACCGACCAAAAAATTACAGGAGAGTTTCGATTCCCTTCCGGAGGTCTTTGGCTGGCGGCGGTGCCATCGCCGACGGCCAACACAAACGCACCGCATCTACTTCTTCCGCCGCCGCTGCCTCTCGTCCACCCTCGGCCTTGGTGCTGCCGACCACGACGCTCGACAGCACCCCTGGCGGCGGCGACGGCTCTAGCATGACGTCCGAGGCCCGGAGGCTCCTCGCGGCCTACCCCGGCGCCCTGGTCCTGCTGGTCGCCCGCGCTCTGCTCCACGTCGTGACCCTGCGCGGCCTTTTTGGCATGGTCGGGGGCGGCGGCGGCGGCGGGGGCGGCGGCGGCGGCGGAGGCCTGCTGCTCGACGGGGACGGCGAGAAAGGCGAGGCAGAGGTCACCGAGGCTCCGGGGGGAGCGCCCAAGGAGCCCGGGGAGTGGGAAGGGCGCTGGTCTCAGGCGATGGATGATGGGGAGGGCGGTTGCGGTGGCGGCGGCGGCGGGGCTGGCGGTGGAAACGGCCGGCGCCCGAGGAAGAAGATATCTCCGATCGCGGATCGAGGGGTGCTCCTTCTGTTGGTGCTGCTGCACAACCGGTCGAGGAGTAACGCCTTCCTCGCTGCGGTGGCCACTTTCGTAGACGCGGACTTGGAAGATAACTTGCCCGGGGGAAGCTTCGGCGGCGGCCGCGGCGGCGGTAGCGGCGGCAGCGGTGGGTCCTCCTCTGCAGCGCCCGTCGTATCGTCGTCGCCCTCTGCGGCCGCTGCGACGCGGATGCGAGTGTCCTTCCGCGGACTGTTTGAGGCCTTCGCTTCTACTCTCGAGGGGCCGTCATCGTCGTCTGGCGGTGGTGGCAGGGGGGGCGGTGTTGGTGGCTGGGGCGGTGACGGGGCGGCCGCAGGAGAGGCGGAGAGCGTCGGGCGCGAGGGGGTGGCGCTCCTGCTCTACAGCTTGCTACAGGTACCTTGTTTCGGGGGGCTGGGAATAGTCCACACTCCTCTCTGTAGAGAGATGGCACGTCGTTGCGCATTTGTCTGTGTGCACTGCTCTGTAGAGCGAAGGAGTTAATTGTGCTTCTTGTCCCCGACGATGTTGGTGGGGAAGGCTCCAAGCTCCTCCAAACTGGTACCACAGCAGTAGCCCCGCTGTGTCCATATGGCACGCCGCTCGCCGCTCCGTTGGTTTCAACGGCTGACACACACACCCCTCTCCCGCGGCCCTTTATCCACTATCCGCGTCTGTTACAACCTCTGCGGTGGTCGTCACGTACGTACGCAGGCCAACCCTGGCTTCCTGCGGGCGGCCGTAGTCAGGTCAGACGCGGACGCCCTCCTTCTGCCGCTCCTGCGCACGCTGCACGACTGCGCCTCGCCCGAGCAGCAGCAGCAGCAGGAGAAGCGACTGCGGGTCAACAAGAAAGCGGCTGCGGCGGCGGCGGCGGGCGGGGACCCTTCCCCGCCGTCCCTGTACGTGCCGGCGATTGTGTTGCTTCTGTTCTGCCAGGACTCGGCGTTCAACCGGCAGTCGTTCAGGCAGGTGGTGCAGGCGGACGTACAGTTGGGCCCCGCTCGGAACCTCAGGGGGTCCTCGCTCGGCTCCCTCATCGTCCTGAGCATCCTCCGTTGCCTCGGGCACAACCTCAAGCGGTGAGAGGGAGTGGAAGTGGCGGCCTTCGGTGGAGGGGGTTGGCGTACTCATGGTTGGCATGCCTCGGGGGGGGGGGGGGGGGG